GCACCAGGAGGAGTTTAGATGGGCAAAGCATGCCGCTGTCCATTGTTCCGTCTTAAAAGAAGAAGGAGGGGAAAATCAGAAAATTGTAGCAAGGCAAGTTCATTAGTATCATAAATCTGTACGTGTTGGGCTGCTAACTGCAAGGTCAGCAGTTCGAAACCACCAGCCACAGGGGGCAAGAAAGACGGCGCTTTCTACCGCAAAGAGCTACAGTCTTGGAAAGGCACGGGACAGGTCCAGCTTGTCCTGCAGAGTCGCTGTGAGTCAGCATCAGCAGTGCAGTGCGTTGTGTGAGTTGGAATCAACGGGGTGGCCGTGGGTTGGTTGGTTTGGGCTCAGGAGCCCTGCTGATCGTGTGGGTTAGGCTGCCAACCACAATATCAGCAATCCAACCTCACCAGCTGCTCCTCAGGAAACAGGTGCGACTGTCTGCTCCAATCAAGACCGACAGTCTCAGAAACCCAGGGGGGGTCGCTATGAGACACAGCCGCTGGACGACACAGGGTTTCGCTTGGGGGTCTCCTTAGGTTGTCTAAAGTCCCTGGATGGTGCCAACTGTTAACTGAAAGTCTGGGGGTTCAAGTCCACCCAGAGATATCTCAGAGAGGCTTGGCATCTACTTCCAAAATACCAGCCACTGCCAACCCTGTTGGGCAAAGTTCCATGCTGACACACAGGGGTCCGTCCCAAGTTGGCATCAAGTGGACAGGAGCTAATTGGTTAGGTTTGTTCGGATGTGTGAGGGGAGATTAAATGAAAGTTGCTTTTCAGGAGAGAAAAGAAATTGTGGGGTGTCCTTGAGATGGCAACCCCAGACATTCTGTAACCCGAGACTTCGAAATTAAAACACTGAGGAAAAAACAACCCACCCAACCTGCAATTTGCACGATCTCCCCAAATAATTAGAATGTGACTGCTTTTAAACATCTCGGGAGTGGGACATGTAGGCCTGAGATACACTAAAAAGCAGGGATTTTAAAACTCAGTGAGGACATCAGCTAAATTCTCTGATGCGAAGAACCCAC